TTTTCTCTTTCTGTAAATCTGCCTTAAAAAGAAAAGACTGTTTCCTATCCCTGGGTGTCTGTATGTAGCTGTCAGCTAGTGAGGAGGGATGTCTTTCCTGTTCTGCTAACTTCCTTGGGTGGAAATTGTGCAAAGGATGCTGTCTGAAATCAGTTTGCCATGTTTACTTATTTGAGAGGCAGAGAGAAAAGAGTGGGGAGCGAGGCAGTAAGAGCAAATTCCCACCTGCTGGTTCACTCCCCAAATGCACTGTAGAACCTCTAGCTGGTAGCTGGAGCCTAAGTCTGGAGCCATGAACTCGCTTGAATGCTCATATTATTCAAAAACACAGAGAATCAAGTAAATAAGTTAAAGAAATCCACACAACAGGCATACAAATTCTGTGGGAAGAGTTAAATGCTGTAGAGATATCAAACTTAAACATCAGACATGAATTAAATATGTTCATTAAAAGGCAAAGCCTTATGAGGCAGAAGAAAGAATATCCGAAGTAGAAGACAAATCTTTGGAAATATTTCAGACTGAAAAAAAGGGCGGGGGGGGGGAGAAGAAATCAGAAAATAGCGTCTAAGATTTTTAGGATACTATCAAATTCTCTTGGGAAATGTTTTTTTTACTTTATTTATTTTTTTAAAAAGATTTATTTATTTATTGGAAAGTCAGATATACAGAGAGGAGGAGAGACAGTAAGGAAGATCTTCCATCCGATGATTCACTACCCAAGTGACCACAACGGCCGATGCTATGCCAATCTGAAGCCAGGAGCCAGGAACTTCTTCCAGGTCTCCCACACAGGTGCAGGGTCCCAAAGCTCTGGGCCGTCCTTGACTGCTTTCCCAGTCCACAAGCAGGGAGCTGGATGGGAAGTGGAGCTGCCGGGATTAGAACCGGCACCCATATGGGATCCCGGCACGTTCAAGGTGAGGACTTTAGCCGCTAGGCCACGCTGCCAGGCCCTATTTATTTATTTTTTTAATAACATTGTATTATGTGACCCAGTTTCAAGGTACTGGGATTCCCTCCACTACTCCCATAACCCTCCCCCCATGGTGGATTCCTCCACCTTGTTGCTGACCACAGTTCAAATTCAGTTGAGATTCCTTCATTGCAAGCATATACCCAGCATAGAGTCCAGCATCTTATTGTCCAGATAAGTTCAACGGCTTTTTTTTTTTGTAGCTATGAAAACAAGGAATGGTTTCACTAAAATAATAGCATAAAACTTCCCTTATTTGGGAAAGAGAAGAAATCCTGTATGATGCCAACATCACCTCAGTTCCAAAATCAGAAACAGATACAACAAAGAGAGAGAACTAATAATCCTGAACATAGGAGAAACCAATCTCATGCTATTTAATTGAATGCATCAATAAATAAGATTGTTCACCTAGGGCAAGTGGATTTGTCTGTGGCATTTGGGGATAGTTCAATATATGCATATCAATAAATGTGATACAGCACAGTAACAAATTGAAGAATAAAAGCAATGTGATTATTTCAATAGAGGCCAGGAAAAAAATTTGGTAAAATGTAACATTCTTTCATGATAAAAATGTTAAGCAAGTTGGGCATAGAAGAAGCATTTTTTTTTTTAACTATAATCAAGGCAGTATGTGACAAATCCTCACCACCAGCATCATAGTGAATGATGCAAAGTTAGAAGTATTTCCAATAAGATCTGGAAATAGACAAGGGAGACTACTTTCACCATTGCTATTAAATTTAGTTCTGGAAGTTTTAGCCAAAGCCACTAGACAACAAAAGGTAATCAAAGGAATGCAAATGGGAAAAGAGGAAATCAAATTATCCTTATTTGCATATGAAGTGATCCTATACACAAAGAAACCAGAAGACTCTACTATTGAAACCTATCAGAGAGTTTGATAAATTTTACCATATTAAGTCAATACACAAAAAACAATAGTCTTTGCATATGCAAACCACACTGTGGCTGAGAAAAAACTTGTATATTTCAGGAAGTATTTGATTAAAAAGTGTTTATAGTGCTTTTCCAAATGGCTATTAGTGTCACCAGTTTATTGTTTATTTACAAAAAAATTTAATTTCTTTTTTTTAAGTTTAATTTCTGAGACAGATATTGATGTAATTATGGTGTCTTATGGAAATCACTCTTGATCTTATGATTTGATTACTGCAGCAAAAACATCCAACTGATTAGTTTTTATACACATCCTTTATTTTTCAAATTTTTTTTATTGGCAAGTCAGAAAAACAGAGAGGAGGAGAGATAGAGAGGAAATTTCCCGTCCAATGATTCACTCCCCAAGTATCCACAATGGCCTGAGCTGAGCTGGTCTGAAGCCACGAGCTTCTTCCAGGTCTCCCACACTGGTGCAGGGTTCCAGGGCTTTTGGCTGTCTTCTACTACGTTCCCAGACCACAGGCAGGGAGCTGGATGAGATGATTGGCCACCAGGATTAGAAGTGGCACCCATATGGCATCCTGGTGCGTGTAAGGAGAGGACTTTAGCTGCTAGGCCACCTTGCCATGCACAACTGATTCATTTTTTGCAGCAGACAGTGTATATAAACACAAACACAAGGGAATCTTAATTAACAATAATTTGCATATATTATGAGCATTTATTTCATAAAACAAACTTATCTATATCAACATTGTGTTTAAATTATTGTGGGATATATAGCCACATAATAACTGAGTGAAAAATATTGCAGGGAACAAAAGTTGGAAATGAAACAGTAATGCTTTTCTTTGACTTTATGTTCAGACATTATAATTTTAGTTCTGTGATCCTCAGTTTCCTGATCTAGGAAACGGAAAGAATGGGATGAATGGACTCTAGATTCTTCTTTCTATAACATTGGCTCTGGGGATAGTCATTTGGTCTATCAGTTAAAACACCTCGGTGACATATCTGCATCCCATATCAGGGTTAGAGTTTTCTCTGCTGCTGATCCAACTTCCTGCTAATGCTCCCTGAGAGGCAGCACCCGATTCTCTTATGCCTGGAACCCTGCCATACACACAGAAAAATGCAGCTTGAGTACAGGCTCCTGGATTCGGCGTGGTCCGGTCTTAACTGTTGTGAGCATTTGGAGAATTTACCCATAGATGAAAGATAGCTCTTTCTTTCTGTCTCTCTCTCTCTTTGTCCTTCAAATGGTATGCACATAAATAAATAAAATTTTAAAAAATACTGGTTGGCTTTGAACAGTACTTCTAATAATAAGAATAGCAATATTAGTTATATATTGTTAAAATGTTTGAAATGTACCAGGTATAGTGATAAGTTCTTCAGTTGTGCTGATTTTGTTCTATGGCATCATGGATTTATTCGATTGGCTAATATGAATTGATTATTTACTATGTGTCAATTAGTATACTAGGTGCTGGTTAGACACTGGTGAACAAAGTAGAGCTCTTTCCTAGTTTTATATAGCTACTCTGGAAAGAACATTTATTACTCTAATTTTACAAATAAGAAGCAGAAACTTAAATTCATTGCTTTATTCAAGACCAAAGAACTGTAAAGTTTCCAAGATTCTATGGATATGATGAATGTAGCAGTTTGTGGAATATATAATAGCCTGTGTTTTAGATTAGTTCTGCTTAAATTAATACAATGACCATGAATCACAGGACAAAGATATTTGATACATTGATTCAATTATCACATTAAGTAGAATGGAATCTTCACATGATTAAAATGTATGCTTTACAAATATGCATAGTGGTTAGAAATAAGCCAAGAATTTTCCCTTATTTGATGATCATCAGCTAAAAAGCACATACTGCTGCAGATGCTTTAAAGATGGTAACAAGAGGGCCTGGCATGATTACCTAATGGCTAAATCCTCACCTTGCAAGTACCAGGATCCCATATGGGTGCCAGTTCAAGTCCCAACTGCACTACTTCCCATCCAACTCCTGAGAAAGCAGTAGAGGATGGCCCAAAGCTTTGAGGTTCTGCCTGCACATGGAAGACCCGGAAGAAGCTCCAGATCAGCTTTTGATTAGCTCAGCTGCCGCTGTGGGAGAGAGCCAGCGGATGGGTGATCTTTCTGTCTGTATCTACTTCTCTGTAAATCTGCCTTTCCAATACGAATAAAGAATCTTAAAAAAACAAGATAGTAGAAAGATATGTTAAGCGGTTGTAGGAGTTGAACATATTGTGTCAAATTATTCTGGGAATAGGAAACTGGTTCCAGGCTGCATAAATGAAGGATCAAAGAGTGTTCAAGGATAGTTATAAACTCAGTCTACTCAGGATATAATGGGGGCATTCCTGTGATTGTACTCAAAGTGAATCTGGTTAGTTTCAAAGGTGCCCTAAGCTTTAAGCTCATCTCTCTGTACTTTTGTCCAGTTGTATTGCTAGATGGAAAGTACATTATTTGGGTTGTTTGGATCTTTGTGTGCACGGTTTTTTTTAAATTTATTGAAAATAGCATCATTAATTATTTTTTTTTACACATTTAAGATGTATATAAAAATCAAAATTGTTTTTCTCCATTCTTCCCCAGTTATGATGATAAAATATTTTCTAGTCATATTTAGGCTATGATTTATTTATTTATTTATTTATTAAACAAAGTCAGATATACAGAGAGAAGGAGAGACAGAGAGGAAGATCTTCTGTCCACTGATTCACTCCCCAAGTGAGCGCAATGGCCGGTGCTGTGCCGATCCAAAGCTGGGGAACCCGGAACCTCTTCCAGGTCTCCCACAAGGGTGCAGGGTCCCAAGGCTTTGGGCTGTTCCCAACTGCCTTCCCAGGCCACAAGCAGGGAGCTGGATGGAAAGTGGGGCTGCTGGGATAGAACCGGTGTGCATATGGGATCCTGGCGCGTTTAGGGTGAGGTCGTTAGCCACTGGGCCACAGCGTCGCCGGGCCCTCGGGTATGTTTTAGTTGCTTAATATTTCATTACATTTACATTAACTTCAGCAATAGAGACCAAAAATTGTTTGTGAAGATTTTCAAGATCTTTTAAGAGCTATGTTTTTCTTTTTCTTCCAGGCTATTGTGGTGACGGATGGCGAACGTATTCTTGGCTTGGGAGACTTGGGTTGCAATGGTATGGGCATCCCAGTGGGTAAACTGGCTTTGTACACTGCTTGTGGAGGAGTGAATCCTCAAGAATGCCTGCCTGTCATGCTGGATGTGGGCACAGAAAATGAGGTAAACAGTTTAAGTCTGTAAATGGCAGTATGCCTTAAAATAGCACTAATTCTTGCAATCTGAGCTTATTTGAGGAACTTGAATTTATAAAGGAACTTGATGAAATTTACTCTCACCTGAAATCTGCCACGCAACTCAAAGTTATTCTTTCTGTTCGCTAAAGTATGATTAATCTTGTATCTGTGGCCTTGGTGTCTTTTGATGCCTTGATAAAGATTTATGCTATTATTATGTTGACTGTTTTACTTAAATATTTTAAAAATATTTTTACTTAAAAAATTTTTTTAAAATACTTTAAAAAATTATTGTTTTCATCTAGTACAAGAATCAGTCCTTTAAGACATATTACATTTGATAAGTCTGGAGTCTTATTGTAAAAGTCTATGTTGAACCAGAAGTAAATTATCTAGAGTTTTGTTTTCTCATTTCTCTTCTCCCCTCTACAGATGATAGTGTGTTTTATTAAAATGCTGTTTTCTGAGACATCATGTCATTGTATTCGCAAAGAATAGATTCTTTCCTTAGTTTGATTTCATGTACATTAACAGAAACTTGTTGAAATCTGAGATGTATAAATACTCCCAATATAGACCAAAATTTTAAAAAATTCAAATAAGACATGAACTTGGTGGAAAATAGGAGAATAATTTTATTTTAACTTAATATGAATTTGAGGTGAGTGGTTATCATATGCGAACCATTTCTAAATTAGCAATATGTGAAAAATTCTGCACTTCATCCAGAATCATAATGAAATGTTAATCATTTTGTCTGGCACTTTTAAAAGTATTCTTTGTTTTTAATTGTTTTAGTAATTTTTTTAACAGTTAAGGCAGGCAGATATTACTTTTATAATAATAAAAATACTAAAATAAATTTAAAATAAAATATTAAGAAAATGTTTTGAGTGTTAGAATCTTGATTGTGAAGGTAATGAATTAAGATAGAAAAAGGTAGGAATTGATCAATATTATTATTGTTTGAATCCTTAAAATTCTATAAATTCTAAGTTTTGTTCTTTATCCAATGCCCAGTCTTTTTCCTTGTCTCATGTGGTTGATTGTAATACTATAAGTCTTCAGTAGTACAATGTAATTTTAGGTGACATTTGATTCTTAAGAAGGTCCTGTTTAATATAAAGTCTTTGGTTTATTCTCCTGGAAACATCTATTGAGTATATACTGATTGCCATAAACATCTTTTAATCAAATAAACTAGCCTGTTCAGTTTCAAATTTCTAATTCTTAAATATTGCATGGAAATTTATAATATACTAATAAATTAATATATTAGAATTTAATGATTTAGTAATAAATTAGATGTATTAGAAATCATAATCTAGATCTTATGTCCTTTATTATCATTAAGGGCAAAAATATAGGTTCTCCTATAAAAAGAAAACAAGGAAAATATAGTATCTTTTATGTATATATAAACTATTGTATTACTAGGACATTCAGCAAAATATGATATACATTTTTACATTATACAATATACAAAGGTGTATTCAAGAGTGCTTTTCCTGTTATCATGAAGTTTGATATGTGCATTGCATCTTCATTTCTAGGCATTTTTAAAATTTCCCTTTTATTTCTTTTATGATCCACTGTTCCTTAAGGAGCATGATGTTCAGTCCCCATGTGTTTGGATGTTTTCTAAAATTTCTTTTGTTGTTAATTTCCAGCTTCATTCCATTGTGGTCAGAAAAGATACATGGTCTGATTTCAATTTTTTGAAGTTGGTTAAGAATTGTTTTATGGCCTAGCATATGGTCTGTTCTAGAGAATATTCCATGTACCTAGTGGAAAAAAAATGTGTGTTTTACAGCTCTGGGATGAAATGTTCTGTAGATACCAATTAGATCTTTTTTATCGGGATTGTAGATGAGCTTTGTTGTTTTGTTTTTTATTTTTCTGACTGGTTTATCTGTCCATTGATGGAAGTAAGGTTGTAAAGGCTCTCATTATTGTTGTGTTGAAAACTTTGTCTCCCTTTGGATTCACTAACATTTGTTTTATAAACCTAGACGAGTTGGTATTGGGTGCATATATAATTACTGTAGTCGTATTTTCCTGTTGAGTTTATCCTTTAATCATGACATAATGCTCTTCTTTTTCTCTTTCAATATCTTTTTGTCTAAAAGTATATTTTGTCTGCTGCCAGGATGGTTATGCCTGCTCACTTTTATTTTCCCATGTGTGTGATATTATTTTCTATCCTTTCACTACCAGTCTATGTGTGTCTCTGTTAGTGAGGTATATTTACTGTAGGAAGTGTACTGAAGGGTCTTGCTTTATTTTTTTTAAATGAATGCAGCTAGTCTATGTCATTTAATTGGAGAATTTAGACCATGTACATCCAAGGTTATTACTGATAAATAATTCCTTGTTTCTATCACTTTACCATAAATCCTTTTTTTTAAAAAGATTTATTTATTTTTATTGGAAAGGCAGATACACATAGAGGAGGAGAGATAGAGAGGAAGATCTTCCATCCGATGACTCACTCCCCAAGTGAGCGCAACGGCTGATGCTATGCCGATCCAAAGCCAGGAGCCTCTTCCGGGTCTCCCACGCGGGTGCAGGGTCCCAGGGCTTTGGACCATCCCCGACTGCTTTCCCAGGCCACAAGCAGGGAGCTGGATGGGAAGTGGAGCTGCCGGGATTAGAACCGGCGCCCATATGGGATCCAGGCATGTTCAGGGTGAGGACTTTAGCTGCTAGGCCACGGCGCCAGGCCCATACCATAAATATTCTTATTGTGTTTTTATTTTTAGATCTCTATACTTTTATGAGAGATTTTCTTCCTTCATATTCTTTTATGAAGTCAGTTATGTATCTGTTTCTGTATGTAGCACATTATTAAGTGACATTTGTAAGACTGGCTTGGTAGTGACAAAATCTTTCCATTTCATTTATACATAGAGCTTCACTGGATAAATATTCTGGTTGACAGTTTTTCCTTTTATGATTTGTTTTGTCTTTCCCTTCTTTCCTGTGCTGTTTCTGATGACAAACCATGGACCCAGCACCCACCATGCAACTGAGCCTTAGGACTTGGGCCCTTTAACCCCCCCCACCCCTGGGGCTCATGGATCTGGCACCCATCAACAGGTGCGCCCAGTGACCTGGGCCAAAAAACCCAGGCCACTCTGGCCCCTGCACCCCTGGGACTCACAGATTCAGCACCCATCACACCGATGAGCCCAAAGCCCTTGGCTGTGTGACCCGTGACCCGCTAGCTCCCCCACCTCCGGGGTTCATGGACCTGATACTCAACATGCAAGCAGGCCCAGTGACCTGGGCCAGGAGACTTAAGCCCCTCTAGATCCCCCACGCTTGGGACTCAAAGACCTGACACCCTCCATGCAGGCAGGGTGAAAGTCCTGGGCTATATGGCTTGGGTCCTGCCAAACACCCAACCCCTGTGGCTCATGGATCCAGCACCCGTCTTGCAGGTGAGCCCAAGGGCCCCTCCATCACTGGGGCTCATTGACCTAACACTCAGTGTACCCATACTGCCATGGCTCATCTATTCAGCATCCACCAGTGTGTGCTTCAACCTAATTGGATCCAGCCTGCCCCCAGTTCCAACTTGTGCTGGTTGGTGTTATAGCCTAGCCTTGACCAGTCAGCCCCTAGTCCCAGCTCAAGTGTGAACTGGCTGGGTTTGCAGCCCAGTTCAGACCCTCCTGCATCCCATCCTGGTTCTCAGCTCTGACAGTGGCTATGATTAACTGTCCCTGCCTGGCCCACACCCTGACCCGACCCACATGTATCCTAGCAGGTACTGTAACCTGGTCTGGTTTGGGCTGCTCCTTGCCTTGGTTCTTGCGCTTACCTGCAGGAACTGCAACCTGATGAAGGAGTTCAGCAAGTCTCTCTCTCTGGTCTCCTTCCAGGGGCAGATCTTGCTCATTTCGGTGGGTTATTGGCCCAGGTTGACTTTGTCCACCTGTTGTCATGGTAGGAATGGTGTCCTTGCGCAATCTGCCCATACTCTTTTTTTTTTAATGATTTATTTATTATTATTTTTTTTGCAATAATATATATTGGAGAGAGAGAGAGAGAGAGAGAGGAGACATGAAGATCTTCTATCTGTTGATTCAATCCCCAAGTGACCGCAATGGCTGGAGCTGCGCCAATCTGAAGCCAGGAGCCAGGAACTCTTTTGGGTTCCCAAATGGGTGCAGGGTCCCAAGGCTTTGGGCTGTCCTCGACTGCTTTCCCAGGCCACGAGCAGGGAGTTGGATGGGAAGCAGTGCTGCTGGGATTAGAACCAGTGCTCATGGGACCCTGGCACATTCAAGGAAAGATTTTAGCCATTAGACCACCATGCCAGGCTCTAAAGGCCCACACTCTTTCTGGTTCTTACTGTTGGTTGTTGCAGCACAGCTACGCCTGGTTCATGCCCAGACACAGCTCTCACATGGTTTATCAGGAGCCAAGACCTAGCCCAGCCCATTTTACACTGCTCCTGACTCTCACAAGTACCAGTGGGTACTGGAGTCTAGCCCAGTCTGGCCCTCCCCAGACCCAGTCCATGCCTGTGCCAAGGGATATTGCAGCCATGTTCAGCCCAGGACAATGCATCAATTCTGGCTCTCATGTTCACTGGTAGGAATTCCAACTCACATGGGTCATCCCCTAAGTTCCCCAACCAGGCCTATTTCCAGCCACAGTTTTTGTGTGTGCCAACAAATATTGCTATTCCACTTGGGTGAGCCCACATACTTCACTGCAGATTCTGTCCCCAGGCCTGATTCACTCACGTATTTCTCAACTTCATGGTGCAGTTCTGTTCCTTTTTCTGAAGCTCACTGGTGGATTCATTGTTGTTGCCCTTTAAGTAGAGTAGCTTTGTCCATGGAAGTTTCAGAAAAGTCATTTCTCACCTGGACATGAACCCTCAGGTCTCTGTTCATCCCTCCCCTCCCCCCATCTCCTCGGACTCTATAACCTCACACACCCCCAAGTTCTCAGAGTGTACCATGTGGTGGC